GGCCGCCTGTGCTCAGCAGGCTCTGCCTCTCAGAGGTTTACACTGAAATGTACTTGGCTTCTGCCCATTCCATTTTAATATCCTTTAGGAGAAGAGTTATAAACAACCAGGTCAATGCCCTGAACACTTCGCAGGGCTGGGAGAGCTGTTAATACCAAGTTTGTCTATGGCCGCTCCGGGAAGCGGGCCAGGCTCAGGTTAGTGGCATTCTGGGAGCCTGAATTGGAAGTCCTTATGCAATCGCAATCCTTCGTGACTTCTAGGGCAGTTTTGTCTGCATAAGGAATGCAGGGAAGGCACAGACCAAAGGGATGAGCCTGAGCATGGAGCCTGAAACACGCTGGCTTCTTGGCCAGTGGCGTTTCGTTCGTCAGAGGGCAATGCCTTCAATGGGCATTCAGCAAGCAGGCTACGGAGAATCCCCAGATGAGAAAGGTTTCTCATTAATGATTCTTTAAAAAAAAAAAAAAAAGTGTACTCTGCACAGACAGGTTGAAGCATAGAGGAGCAGAGCTGAGGTCCCCAGGCATGTGGACTTAGCATTTGGTAGGCCATGCGGATCTGATCCCAGGGGATCTGGCTGGGCTTTTGGAACTAAAAGTGACTAATGTCCAGGTCACAGTCCTGCCACCCTGGGTGAAAGCCAGACAGGGTGTGTGTGTGTGTGTGTGTGTGTGTGTGTGTCTGTGTGTGAGAGAGGGTGTTTGAGTGGGGGGGATTGGTCTCCCCTTAGTTGTCAGACAAAGATAAGTACCAAATTCCCCCCCTTTCCTTTCCCCTTGCTAGAGGCAGCAGAGGCCTGGAGAACCCCCAGCCCTGGGAAGGTTCTCTTCGTTCCTGCAGTGGGGGGACTGGCCTGGGAGGGGGTAACAGAGAGATGACATGAGAACCAGGCACCCTGGAAGACAGGACTGTGGCTCCTGGCCGGGTGGGGCCCAGCTCGTTCCCAGTTCCGAAGGGAAGCTGGTCCCCTGAAAGCCACACGGGCCCCCTCCGCCCGCACCGCCCTGAGGCCCCAGGGGTAAAAGCTGGGACATGTGTCTCAAAGTGCCGGATGGTCAGTTCACTTTCCTCGGCCTTTCATATGTGTTGCCACTGAGGGAACAAGGATTCGCAGCAGCAGTTTTCAAACAAGTTGGCACGTTAGGAACAGCCTGGGGCTTCTCCGTGCCTGTATTCATTTCTGATGTGCCCATTTAGATGGTTTGTTTGGTGCCTTAGAGACCAGGGCGGGTGCTCCTCTCTGCACCTGCTCTGGGCTTCACGGTGCGGCCTGACACGCAGCTGCTCTGCTCCTGCAGTTTCCCTGCCCAGCCTCACTTAGCGTTGACTCGCCTTTAAGGCTTCAGTCAACTGTCTTCCTAATGGCATCGAGGTGGGGGCCATGCCGAGTGTGCCCTGATTAGAGAAGGGCGTGTCTAGGAGTCTACAGGGACCCAGACTGACAGGGGCTGTGTCCTTTCTGGGTAGAGCAAGGAGTCCAGAGAATAGGGAAGAGACTGATGGAATTTGTGGGCATGGAGAGCTGGCTGGGTTAGCTCATTTGCAGAATGGGAGGTCACGCCCGCCTTTAGGCTTATTAAAAGGATTAACTGAGCACGTGTGTGAGAGTTCTAGCACCTACACACAAGGCAAGCTTGAGCCCCTCTACTGTCGCCACTAACATTCTTCTTACCATGATTCCTGCCGCCTCTGAGTTTCTGAGGCTCCGCAGCCTGTGTTCCTACAACCAATCCCCTAAAGCTCAAGGAGAAGTGACCCCCTTCCCTAAACTGTCTTGCATCTCCAATTGCATCTCCCTGCTCCTGGGGGCAAGTTTTCTTCCATTTTCACACTCTTTCTATATTTCAAATTCCAACCGGCAGTTCAGTTTGTGGGGTTCAGGCCACCAAAGGCGGTGGTGGGGGAGGGGCTGAGAGCCTGTGCGTGCTCCTTGACTGGCCCCCTCCCACTTGCTCTCTAAACCCATCTCTCTGGGCTGCCTCCGCTCTTCCCAGGTCCTCTGTCCCGGATGCCATAGACATTTCAGCAGGCCTAAGGGGGGATGCCAGTCCTTATGATATAACATGGAGGTCAAGAGCCTGGGTTCAAATCTGCTACTCCGTGGGTATGCGCTCTCAGGGAAATTACCTGATCTTTCTGTTTCTCCATCAGAAACTGGAAATACTTAAAACAACCTCACAATATTGTGAGGATTAACTGAGTTAATAAATGTAACTGGTTAGGGGCGTCTGGGTGGCTCAGTCGGTTAAGCATCCAACTCTTGGTTTTGGCTTGGGTCATAATCTCATCGTTTATGGGGTCGAGTCCCACATCCGGCTCTGTGCTGGCCATGCAGAGCCTGCTTGGGAGTCTCTCTCTCTCTCTCTCTCTCTCTCTCTCTCTCTCTCTCTCTCCCTGCCCTTCCCCTACTCACACTCTCTCCCTCTCTTGTAAAATAAATAAATAAAAATTTTAAAAAGATATAACTGGTTAAAACCATGCCAGTATGCACTGTGTAAGCATTAGCTATTATTGCTATTATTACTGTGTGAGTTCATCAAAGTCTCACAGATCTTATTATATGTATCAAGTGGGTATTACTGCCATTCTCAATTTGTAATACCCATGATATATTTAGACTAAAAATGTAAGTAAAGAAAAAAATATATATATATATTTGGATTGTCTGATTCTGTAAATTATGCAAAGCAGAGTGGTCCAACTTTGCAGCTACAGGAAAATAAAAAACATTTCAGGACACAATTTCTATTCGTCCTCACCCAATCCACAAATTTTTAACTAGCTGAGATGCTGGTGAACCGGAATCCCTCTAGGCAAAGAGGATCTCTGGGCCTTAGTTTGGTATTCTCTTGGGAATAGCCCCCCACCCCACCCACCAGTTTAAATGCTCCGAACCCTCCAGTTCTCTTAAACCGTGAGCCTGAGGAAAATAGGAAGGATCCGACAACCATTCATTACATGCACGCTCTCCAGGTCAGAAGTTACACGTGTTTTGCCCTCTTACTTATTTTTCCCTGACTCAGAGGTTGAACCACATTTGAGCTGGTTACCAACAATTACACAGAAAAACCTAGATTTCTGCCTTCTCCTGAAAAAAAGTTCTGCCCTATAAGCCTGCCTTCCACATGATGGTAATGGGCTGGAGCCCAGTAACAGCTGCTCACTTTCAATAGGGCACGGGCTTCTCCAGTTTGCCACAGTCTTCACATTTCGTGTCATGTCTCTCGTATTACAACCAACAGTAGCTGCCATTTCTGATCAGGCCTGCCGCTCCTACTGTACGTAATGGCTCTCTGTTTCGTTCACACTGTCTATAGAGACTTAGATTTGTGGTTCCTGCTAGTGTGGGGATTTCCATCAAACGTGAGTTTGCATCTTAACCGTCTTCGTGGTTCGGAATGGAAGATTCTAAGATTCTCTTCCCCTATTGAAGGAATGTTGGGGGTGCCTGGGTGGCTCAGTCGATTGGGTGTTAGACTTCGGCTCATGTCATGATCTCACGGTTTGTGAGTTCAAGCCCCATGTCGGGCTCTGTGCTGACAGCTCAGAGCCTGGAGCCTGCTTCGGATTCTGTGTCTCTGTCTCTCTCTGCGCGCCCCCCCCCCCTTGTGCATGCTTTCTCTCTCTCTCTCAAAAAAAAAAAAAGAAAAGAAACATAAAAAAATAAAATAAAATAAAGGAATGTTAAGCACCAGTAAGCTGGTCCAAAAACTGCTGGCCCTTTGAAGGTTTTGAAGTCAATTGTTATATATGGAATGTTCCAGGGAGAAAGGATCAGAAAGTTTGCTGCCTTTTCTATTGCCAGGTAGGCTGCTCTGGCTCTGAAAAGGTGCTCAAAGCTCCAGGAAACCAGGATGAGGGTTGTGTAAGGTGGGGTGGCAGACGGATAAACCCTGACATCCCCTTCACCAGCTCCTCCCTGGACTGCAGCCCTGCCTGGCCCAGAGATCTCTGCACACCAGGCTGCTCATTGAGGTGGCCCCTTCATCTCTGCCTACCCTCCAGCCCCTGCATTCTAGCCCAGCTCCTGCCCCCTGAATCCCAACCATTCCAGATCTCCATCTTAGGCTTGCTGGCACATTATCTGATATCTTGGACTATACCCCTAGGCCTTCTTTATGAGTTTACTCTGTTTCTGAATATTCTGGCCAAAAACTAAGTCACCAGACTGCATGTTTTCTGTGAACAAGGCATACTGCATGCTCTGACTCTAGAATGGCAGATTAAAGAATTCCCCAAGCTCGAGCCTCTACCTATCACACAGGGCTAAGAAAACCCAGCTGACTCATAGATGGCAACTTCCTCCAGGACTCCCATTTACCATGTAAAGTTCATCCTGATTGAAAACTCTGTCCTGTGAACGTCTGTAGGCCGAGGTTCCAACAAGCCTGATCTGTTGCCACAGGAGCTCCACAACAGTCTTTAAAAATAGATCACCTCTGGGGCGTCCGGGTGGCTTAGTCGGTTAAGCGTCCGACTTCGGCTCAGGTCATGATCTCATGGTTCGAGGGTTTGAGCCCCTCATCAGGCTCTGTGCTGACTGCCAGCTCAGAGCCTGGAGCCAGCTTCAGATCAGTGTCTCTCTCTCTCTCTGACCCTCCCCTGCTCATGCTGTCTCTCTCTCTCAGAAATAAATAAAACACTAAAAAAAAAAAAAAAAATAGATCACCTCTGCAAGTAGAGCAGATTTCCCTAAAAGCCCAGCATGGATCCTCTGGGGATCTTTAACAGCTCTGCTCGGATGAAGATTCACTGAATTTGAAAGTAAAAGATTAGAGAAGGGCCACGCAGGAGAGAAAGCATTGGATTCTGGTGAAGGTAACACAGGGGCACAGCTCCAGATGACAACATAAAGCCACCAAACTCTCCAGGGGCCTGTGTCACAGGTCGGTTCACCTGTTCACCCACCCTAAAGGCAGCTAGTTCACAGGCCCATGTCTGGGACCGGCAGGGCACAGGCAGGGTGTGCTGCCCACAGGAGGTTTGCGCGAGCTCACCGTGGTGGCCGGTCCTCCCAGAAGCGACCGCAGCGCGGGCCACCAGATGTGCAGAGACCGCTGCCTCCTCCTGCGACGGGTTTCCGCTCAGCACGATGCGATGCGCCTGTCACCGGGGAAAGAAGACACAGGATTGTTTCCATGCTTGGCTGCAGCAATAGGGGACTCACTGTTCTTGGAGCGATAAGCAGAAAGCCAAGGATCTTTCTATTAAGCTAGACAATATGATTTGTGTGGAAGCACAGTCAATTCTCCAGGAGACTTAGATTTGAAGAGCATTGTATTGTGAACAGAGAAAGCCCTGAAGACTGAGTCCAGATGGCTTGAAGCCATGGCCAGGGTGCATCACTCAGTAAATCATTTAAAAGTCTATGGTCCTCTGAGTCAGCTGAGGGGTGTGGGGAGGAGGGTTTCAAGGAGGAAGGGGGTGGGTTAAAAAGTGCCAGTGCTCTAAACAGGAAGTGGGTGAGCCCCAGCCCCCTGCCCAGGCTCAGCCCAAAGGGGGTCCTTGCTCAGGTGTGAGCAGCCTCCCCAGTGCCCCATCCACCAAAGTCATCTGCCTGTGCCTTCTTCAAACTGGCCCATGGGGCTGCCTGCACACAAAAACAGCTCTGTTCCTTAAAAATAAAGCCCAACTGAAAATTCTTTGAGAGAGAGAAAAAACAACCCTTATGATCCCATGAATATAAATAGTAACAATCCTCCATGGGGGGCCTGTGGTGGCTCAGTTGGTTAAGCGTCCGACTTCAGCTCAGGTCATGATCTCAGTTCGTGGGTTCAAGCCCTGTGTCGGGCTCTGTGCTGACAGGTAGCCCAGAGCCTGGAGCCTGTTTCGGATTCTGTGTCTCCCTCTCTCTCTCTGACACTCCCCTGCTCATGCTCTCTCTCTCAGAAATAAATGAAAACATTTATAAGTAAATAAATAAAATAAATAAAAACAGAGCCCGATGCGGGGCTCGAACCCATGAACCGTGAGATCATGACCTGAGCTGAAGTTGGACGCTTAACTGACTGATCCACCCAGGCACCCCTAAAAAATTTTTAAAAGATAGTAACAATCCTCCTAAATAAAATACAGAACATATCTCTACAAATAAAAAGATATAAACTAAAGAATAAAAGAGAAAACAAAGTTACTACTCATCAGTCAACATTTAACATTTTAAAAAATGCTATTGGCAATAGGTTTGTATTCATTCAGTAAACAAATCCTTACCCATCACCTGCGACAGGAGAGACCAGGGCCAGTAAATGTGGGCAGTACACCAAGGAACTGAGCCTGATGTCCTACAGTGCACTAACATGAGGTGGTAGGTGGTTGACAATTCATTGCCAAAAGGGTGACAGAAATACCAGAATACCATGAGTTAAAGGGAGAAACAGCAGACTGTTATAGGACAGACATACTAATAACAACTAAGATTTCTTTCTCACGTGTAGTATCAATTTTAATTTTCTTAATAATTTTTGTTACCCGCATTTTGTAGATGAGAAAGCTGAGGCTGAGGAATGGGTGACTTGCCCAAGATACCTCATGGCTAACAAAAGATGGAGATGAGACTCTGACACTCTGACTCCAGACTGGCTTTTTCTTCCAGGGCAAGAATGCTGCCATTCCTCCCCACCCTGGTCCCTCTTGGCAGACATCACTTATTGATGCCGGCACCCTCCCCTGAGGCGTCAATTTGTTCAGCCTCCAGGAGCCATGACTAATCCGCGGGAGCTGGCCTAGGAGGTAAAGCCACACCATCAGAACTTTCTAGTCCAGACCAAGCAGGGAGGCAGCAAAGCCATAGAGACGTGGTCCTCTGATGACCAGCTGAATGTATTTCTGAGTTGGTAATCAGGGTGGATTCTAGACTGTCACCTCAACTGTCATATGTTAAAATCAGCTCTAGATTTCTTATGATAGGGGCTATTCCAAATCAAGATTGCTGGTAATACCTTTATCGTTGTATTCGTAAATGCTAACAATATCCTTTGTTTTTAAACTACTTTCCTTATTATAGGATATTAATAAATTGAACAAATAGTTTTGGCAATGCCCCAATTAGTCATTATCCTCAATTTGGCCTGAAGCTCTGACTTGAAATGCTTTTCATATAATGCACACTCCGAAAAGTAAAGACAATCAGAGCCACAGGTATAGAGTCAAAGCATCATGTGCTCAAGGATTTGAAGAGAGGGGAAAAAGAGAGAGGAAAATCTGCCACATCCCAATTGCAAACTGAATCATGTTTACTTTGAGTTTCCCCCTGCTAAACTGTCATTGAGGAGAGCGTCCAGAAAAGGTTTAACTCATATTGTTCCAAAGACTTTTAACTCACAGTACTTTAGATTTATTAAAATTAAAATGCAAAAAGCTTTCATATTATGTTTCCACTCAATATTACAATTTAAGGCAACATAAAAGATATATGTCTATCAAAATGATTATTTATTTATTTACCTACTTATTTATTTTGGGGAGAGAGAAAGAGGCAGAGAGAGGAGGAGGGAGAGAATCCCAAGCAGGTTCCAAGCTGCCAGCACAGAGCCTGATGCAGGGCTCAAACTCACTAACTGTGAGATCATGACCTGAGCCAAAGTTGGACACTCAACCACTGAGCCACCCAGGTGCCTCTTTTCCTTTTTCTTTATTTAATGTCTATTTTGAGAGAGAGAGAGAGAGAGCAAGCATGCACGCATGGGTGGGGAGGGGCAGAGAGAGAGGTTGAGACAGAATCCCAAGCAGGCTTCATGCTGTCCATGCAGAGCCTGACATGGAGCTTGACTCCACGAACCATGAGATCATGACCCGAGCCGAAATCAAGAGCCAGACGCTTGATGGACTCAACCACCCAGACACCCCTATAAAAATTATTTTCAAATGAATAATGACATGTTCTGAAAGTTCTGTAGGTTGCCTTTTGCCTTTGGAGACAGGAAGCAAAATTTTCCAAGAGCAAAAGTGCTCACAATATCAAGAAAGTGGATCCTGAGAGATTAAGGGGATCTGAATTTCACAAAATCTTCATAACCTCAACATTTTTCTGTGTGAGATACTAACATGAGCAAACATTTATTATTCATCATGCACTTCGGAAACTCAATCCCTGATCTAATTTATATTTGATGTTCATGAAACTTCTAAAAACCATATGCTGGTTTAACATTGGGGTGAGGGGAGGAAAAGGAAACCGTGAGGTTAAGAATGTGCAAGATTAGCATCTCATTAATTCAGTAAAATTAAATTCAGTTTAATTTAATTCAGTCATATTCAATTTACCTTAAGTTTTAAATGCTTTCTACATGCCACATTGTGTCCCTCGTCACACGCAGGGCCTTATTTGGTCCTGCCTTGATCACCTCCCAGCAATTTTCAGCCCTTAATCCACTCTCCCCATTCTTGCTATCCAGGCGCCACCTCTTGCTATCCCTTCCCTTCTTCGCCAGCTTGGAGTTCACCATCCATCACTTTTGATATCAACATTATTTGAAACGGTGAAAAAGGGGGAATCATCTAAATAACCATGAGAAGAGGAATGAATGTACTGTGGTTTATTCACACAATGACTGAACTCTACCTAGTACATTAACACAGTAACATTTCAGAAACATACCAGTGAGTGGAAAAGTAACTTACATGAGGATGCAAACATCATGGTACCAATGAGTTTCAAGTCTCTTTTTTGAAGCAAAAAAAAGCTTTTGTTCCAAACAGATTCTTTTGCATTCTCTAAAATACAGAGCAGGTAAGAGTGGAGCTGCTCTTACTGAAGCAGGTGGGGAGGGCCTAGAAGCTCACATAGCCACGCCTACCCAGCTACCCCCCAAAAGACCCTCCATGGAACACGAGGGTTCAGGGTGACGCAAATTGAGAACCACAGCTCTGCACGCTATAGGAGGCCGCCGTAGGGAGGAGGAATGAAGGCAGTTGAAAAGCTAGTGATTAGATTACCCGATTTTCCAAATTGAACAACTGTTCACAATTCTGGCACAACACTTTGCTTGCTAAGAGAATATAAATACCCCCGTTATATACATCTGAGAGCATTTAAGGACTAGTTGTTAGTGTTAACAGAATTATAGGAGCCGTGCTTGCCTCTCCTGGCTCTATGCAGGAGACCCAGTAATGGGCCCTACTGGGGATCTTTGTTTGCGTTCACTCCTTGTTATTTATTAATCTCCCAGGGAGAAATCAAATTTCTCCTCCCGTTCTTTGTTGTTTTCAGCATCTTACAGTTATACGTTTATCAGTTGTCATCTTGGAGCTGAGAGGGAGGGTTTAAGATTCCTAAATCTCTGGAGCCGGTAACATGTGGTACTGGATTGAAAACAAAACCAAAAATACAGCCTTTAATATCTCATATTGAGCAAGGTCATTAACTGAAAAACCTCGATCATAAGACCAACCACCTCAAGCCCTGCCAGGGTGCAGAGCAGAATGTTGCGTTCAGGCCGTCCTGCGCGTTTCTGGGGGGACCACCGATTCCACAGTGCCAATCCAGCTGTCAGTAGTCGCAGCCAGAGCCATAGCTGGCAGATTCTTATCGGACCGAGCCTGTCCCCTTGGATTTGTGAAATGTGTAATAGTTCTTGAAGAGAAAACTTGATGACTAGTAAGAAGGATGTTTCTATTTACGCAGGCAGACCCCACCACGTGGACACTCAAGATATGCAGAGCTCTCACTGACTCTTGGCAGGAGAGAGGGATAGATTTTTGTTTTTTTTTAATTTCCCATTTGGCAATAACTAGGAGGGGGTGGTCACTGACTCAGAGAGAAATCTCTTCTCCCGGAGTAAAGTGGAGAGTCCACAAATAGCTCAAGGTGCATTTGTAGACCTAAACTGACTCTATTTGCCCTGGAAACAAAAACATTCGTGCGGAAGGCAACATAGCTTGGTAGCCGCCAGGATCGCTTTGTACAGCTGAGGCCCTGGCACTAGGAGGGACATGGGGAGGACGGGAACTAACCTTGACTAAGCACCTACTTTGGGGGTGGCACTACACGGATTACATGCACCAGCTCGCTTAACCTCAGAATCACCGGTGAGGGTGGTGTTAACACCCCAATTTATAGATGGGGAAATGAAGCCTTCAGGAGATGAAGCAACTAACTGAAG